GAAACTGAGGCATGGCGCCAGCGAGCTGCTCAGTTGCTCAGAGGCAACGGTGGGATGGGTTCTACCAGCTGCATGAAAGCAACTGGAGGCAGCTTTAGTTCCCCCATGCATCCAAATTCCCCCTCAAAATATGACTTACTTTCTGGGAGACAGAGCCTTTTTCCAGCTCCTCTCCCAGCAAGATGCCCGGTTAGTTCCACCCTGCCAGCCTTGCCAGGTGAGCTGGTGCAGGACACCCCATGGGCAGGGTGAGGGGACAGGAGACGTCTCCATCACACCACAGGGCACTGATGCTCAACCCAACCCAGGGCTAGGGGATAGCACAGACCCCATCCCTCCTCCTGCCCCGAGGGCCAGGTTCCCAGCGAGATGCTGCCAAGGACCAGTGACCACCAGTGACCGCCACTGACCCAGCTTTGTCTCCTCAGGGCAGTGAGCCACATGGTTAACCAGGACCCCCAAACCCTGCCTGAGGAGACGGGGGTCCTTGCAAAGGCAATTTCAAAGTGGGAGCAAGCCTGTGCACCAGCCAGCGTTCGGCCCCAGCCCCACCAGCCCCCAGGACCTGCACCCACTGCCTCACCCGTCCACGCTGTGAATGGGGCTGCTGGTGGAGACGGGGCTGGGGGCAGTGAAGGAGTTGGTGAAGGTGCCGTTCCTGGCAGGCACCTCTGGGCCCCCAGCCTGGGCAGCAGGCAGGCTCCCTCCCCTGCCCGTCGTGGCCGTGCGGGCCACCGACTCGACGTAGCTCCTGGGCTCTGCGGCAAAAGAGAAGGGGAAACAGATGAGCCCACAGCTCCCATGGGAAGGGGGCCATGCCCTTCCCGGTATCCCTGTTTCAGCCAGTGAAGGTGCTTGAGCTGAGCTCCTCCAGCTGCACATTTCCCCTGTCCCTCGTCCCTCTTCCCCCAGGGGTTGTGCAAAAACACATCTGGCTCATCTGGGCCTTTAGGTTGCTCCAAGGGATGCTGAAGACCCCAGCCAGGGCACAGGGAGGGGGGTTGTGCCCACCCCTTTCCCTGAGGGGACCAGAGCAGCACGTGGGACCTAGGTCCCTTCCCACGCCATGGCCCCTCTGCCCTGCTCTGAGTCAGCGTCCCTCCCCACCCGGGATGCCACACAGCACGCTTCATGCTCCCTGCTCATCCCCAGCCCCTAAAAATAGAGCTGGTGACTCTGCCCAGCCTGCGCTGACTCACACGGGACTGAGGACGATGCCCGGCGGTCCCTGCCCCACGCAGCCCACCTCTGCCAGCCATCTCCAGCAGCAGACCAGAGAGCAGCTCCAGCTATTTCCACTGCAGTATCCAACACTCTCACTCCCAGCCCAGCTTGAAACCAGAGCTCACGAGCACGACCAAGAAAAGCAATTTTCCTTTGGAGCTGCCGAGCTGTCCTGTGCCAGGAGCAGCGGGCTGGGCTGGCTGTCACCAGCCA